GTACTTAGATGGTTCACGTGAACTCCTGCCCTCTAAGCTCCAACACAGAGGCAGCAGCTCCAGAAGTGCCTGGGACATAAGGGGAAGTACTCAATGGACTAACTTTAGGTGAAAGGCTGGAGGGGCAGGGATTGGTAGGAACTCTCTCAGGGAACAGAAGCTCTGATGGGTGCTTGAGTCCTTGTTGAGTTCTCTCATCCAGCTGGCCCTGAGCAGGCAGGCGTAAAATCTCTCTCTCCATTAACCTGGCCTACTCTGTCTGCCCTGCTCTGGTGTTTCCCTGAGACCCTGACCCATCCAATGAGTTCACCTTACTGGAACCTCTTTCAGCAGCTCCAGGGCCTTCACAGGAGCCCACACAGTCTCTCTGAAAAGCCCTCAAATTCTACAGGAGTGATGGCCTGCTTCTGGCACTCCCTGCAATCTCTCCCAAATGCCCTTCAATTCAGCACAAGCAGCAACCTAGGCATCTGTCAGTAGACGAATAAAGATAAAGAACACAAGTTACATATGTACAAAGCAATATTACACAGCCATAAAAAGAATGACATTTTGCCTTTTGTGACAAAATGGACCTAGAGGATAGTATGCTAATTGAGAAAAGGCAGACAGAGAAAGAAAAAGTCCATCAGTTTTCAGTTATATGTGTAATGTAAAAACAAGGACAAAGAAAACTAAATGCAAACAAGCTTATATAATACATACAGAGAACAAATTAATAGGTACCTGATTGGCATGGGGGAGGTGGGGAGTGTAAAAGATGAAGGGAATGAAAAAGTACAATCTGCCAGTTATAAAATAAGTAACAGGGAAGTAAAGAACAGAGAGGGAATATGGTCAATAATATTGTAATAATTATGTATGGTGTCACAGACTTATCGTGGGGATAACTTTGTAAGGTCTGTATGTCTAGTCACTCTGTTTTCCACCCGAAATGAATATAGATAGTTTTTTATATCAATTATATTGTAATTTAAAAATTTGGGAAAATTTACAAAACTAGAGTTGGTTTTTTGTTTTTTGTTTTTTTTAAATTTCTTCGGAGTTAGAGTCTCATTTAAATGGATCCATGGCTTATATATCTCAGTTATTTAAGCTTCTTCTGGGCAACATCAGTGAGGAGGACCTGCATGTTTAGCCTGATTTGGAGGCTGTGACTTTAGAGCTGACACATTCCTTTGCTCAGCCTCTCTTCATCTGTGAAGTGGGGATTATAAAATATGGAAATAGAAATGAACATGTATGTATGGAGCATACACAATAGCCATGTGTGGCTATTTTTTTTTAATTTATTTTATTGCCACATGTGGCTATTTAAATTAAAATTAATTTATTTAAATTTTTATAAGTTTAAATTGAGCCAAATTGACAACAGATGCTGGGGAGACAGATCTCAAATGCTCCTAAATTTAAATTAATTAAAATAAAATTAAATGAAAAAAAATTAACTTCCTCATTTGTACTAACCACATTTTTGTTGTTGTTAATCCTTACATAAGGATCTTTCCCCTTTGATTTTTATGGAGAAAGGGAAAGACAGAAAAACATGTATGTGAGAGAATCACACCAATTGGTTCCTCCTGACCGAGCCTACAACCAAGGTTGAAGAGACTTTACTAAAATGGAACTGGGATTCTTTGGTCTGCAGGCTGATGCTCTATCCACTAAGCCAAACCAGCTATGGCAGTACTAACCACATTTTAAGTGCTTTCCCAAACCCATATGGAATAACTCCATCATTACAGAACATTCTGAGTTAAACACATACACCACACACACACACACACACACACACACACACACACACACACTTGCGTGCATGAACTGCACACACCATAGGAAAGGAGTTAACAAATGCAGTGTAGAAAACAAAATAGAGTGATGAGGAATGTCTGAGGTGACATGTAAGCAGAGAACAGAATGAAAAGGAGAAATCTGGAAATGGTGAGCTAAAGGAATGCGGATCTAGGCAAAGACACCACCAGCAAGAATGTGGTAAAGAAGGGATTCATTTGAAAGAACCAAAAGTCACTGGAGCCCCATGGGCAGGGGAAAGAGAGAGGAAAATCTGAGAGTTGGGCAGAGGGCAGATCACTGGGCCTTTGCATTTAGGTTATGAGTTAGGATTTTTTATTTTTTTCTGAAAGAGCCATGGAAGGGTTCTAAGTGAGGGAGTGACATGGTCTAGTTATATTTGCCATTTATATCTTTCTGCACAATTTTACTAGTTAAATATTTACTTTACTCATATCTCTATCTGATTGTACAGTCCTGAACTTTTTTTATCCTTAGTATATTTGTCAGCCTCAATATAATAATAAAAACTGTGGAAGAGTGGAATTAAATGGAAAAATCCTTATCACTGACTTACTGGGCATTGGCAGAATCCCAGAGTATAACAACACTAATCAAAATCTTTTAATTTTATTACATTGACAATGAGAGATGAAGGGGGGAGAGAGAAAGAGACAGAGAGAAAGAAACATTGTTGTGAAAGAGAACACCAATCAGTTGCCTCCTGCACACACACCTCAATTGGGGATCAAAATTGCAACCTGGATACATCCTGTCCTGGAACAGAACCCTCCACCTTTTGGCGCACAGGGTGATGCTCCAACCAACTGAGCCACATGGGCCAGGGCTGGTCATAAAATCTATTGCCTCCCAAATAAATAAAGCATCACCTATTTGTATGTGAAGCATTTCAGAATATGCCTCCTAACCTTTGGTGGTGGTTGAAGTAGGGTCAACAGTGTCCACTGTAAGTATTTAAAGACAAAGCATAAAGTGAAACTGAATATCTAGGCTCACTAAACCTTTCCAAACCCCAGCTTCCTCCTCCAAGAATGGGTTAGTAACAGCACCTGCCTAAGTGTGAAAGGAAAATGCACAGATTCCATGACACAGTAATTCTCCAGAAATGGTGGCTGTAGTATTCATGCATATTTAGGTTTACTTTTGAGTTTACCCACAGACTTTTTTTTTCATTTCAACAATCCTCTAAGGGAGATAGAACAAGTATATTTGGCCCCATTAAAGGAATGAGGAAATCAAGGCTTGGCTCAACTTAGTAACTCAAAGAGCTACCAACTTTCTAAGTGGCAGAGCTGGGATCTGAACCCAAGTGTGGAGAAAACTCTTTCTTGATGTGACCTCTGTTTCTCCCATGAGCTGGACTTGGGCTGGATCAGAGGTTGCTTTCCACAACTCCCTGTTAGAGGCTGTCTGATTACAACTGATGTTCATTCTAACATAAATGAACACCCTTTCCTTGCTTGCTGCTATGTGCTGGTCCCTGGTATAGGCCTATTGTCCTGACCTGGTTAAGAATTCTAAAATTAGAATAGATTTTATTAAGTGGATTTGTTATTTTAATTTATTTAATTTATTTGTTATCGATTTGAGGGAGAGACATAGAGATAGATAGATCGATAGATCGATAGAGAGAAACATCAATTTGTTGTTCAACTTATTTATGTATTCATTGGTTGATTCTTATATGAAACACACAAGTGTGGCTTATCTGGATGACACTCTAACCAACTGAACTATCTGGCCAGAGTTAATTTTGTGGGCTCAAAATACCGAAGGTACATGGATATAACCCAGTTGGTGTGGTTCAGTGGTTGAGTGTTGATCTATGAAACAGGAGTGCTTGGTTCTACTCCAGGTCAGGGCACATGCCTGGGTTGTGGGACAAATCTACAATAGGGGGTAAGCAGCAGAAAGATAATTATTCTTTCTTATCACTGATTTTTTTTATTTCTATTTTTCTCTCCCTTCCTCTCTGAAATCAATAAAAATATATTCTAAAAAAAGTAAACTGAAAGAAAATCAAGATTTGTTCTTTGTGTTAAAATAAAATAAAGGTGTAAAAAATAAAGGACACAGTAATAGACCCTAAACTTGCCATGGACCAAGGATTATGATAATGAGGGCCACATGCCCTTTTTGCCTTTAACAGGGACCTTTTAGTTGACTCTACAATGGGATTTTCCACCAGGATATGTCTTCACATTCCTGGGTAGAGAGGAACTAGTTAATCTTTGGTCAGACCCTGTTATTCTAATGCCTTTGGATTTCATCCATGGAGACCTGCTATACATGGATTGGTATATACACCTTATAAAGAAGAAAGAATAGATCCTTTTCTGGCATATTTTCCCTCCTATTTCATTACTTACCCCAGAGAGCACAACTTCCTATTAGACAACATGTGATTTACACAGCCTGGCTAGGCTGCAAGTGTAATTCTCAAAGAAGGAGAACTCTCAATTCAAATCCCTACAAAATACTTGTATTTCTGACCTTAGAATTCTGCTATTCTTGTGGCATCCAGTTATGTGAAGTGTGTGTGTGGGAGGAGTATTCATTATCCAAACTGAATGATGTGTTTTAATACCCAATGCATCCACTAATATTTATTTATTTTTGTTAGTAGAAGACCTACTAACCTACAAGCGTAGGGCCTCTGGGAGCATGATGAAAAACATTGTTATTAATACTTGAACTGCTTCTTTTAATTTGTCTCTTTCCTTGTACCTGTTTGCACTGAGAACTGTGTCTTCAATGCAGTCCATTAGCAATAACTGAGCTACCTCCCTCCCACTGAACTCCCTGCTGACCTGTAGGTGACCTTGCAGAAGGGAGGTGTCATGAGAGTGTAAGAGCGGTCAAGAGGGGTTGAGTGCGAGGAGAGATTGTTTGTTCCACAACGTGACTTCTGTTTCTCCTACAAGCTAGTTCAGGCCAGAATGGAAGCTACTTTCCATAACCTTCCTCCACTTTGATTATCTGATATAATCAATATTCATTCTGACGTTAATCGGTATACTTTCTTTGCCTCCTGCCATGCACCATTCTTAGAGCAGGCCTTTGTCCTTTCCTTGTCAAGCATGTAAAGTAATTTCCAATAGCTGGTAGCATTCATAAACTAGTATCTATGACTGTCCCCATCCTTTACTCCATATAATTATTTCTGCCCTGCTAACAAATGTGGTCATCCATTTTGTCTTGCAGTCACCAGAGAAGTACCTTGCATATGAATGTTTTTCCTAAACTGTTATTTGCCAGATTGGAGTGGCCTGCTTCTTTTGCCAGCCTCTCTCTGTCCCCCATTTATGAAAGTAGAATTTCAGTTCTGGAGTTTTGCTCTGAGTCTGTGTCTATGAGCAACAGGCCCGGTCCACATTCTGCTTTCTGAAATATTCTCCTGACATCATTCAATAAAATGCAGTCTGAGTCGTTGCTTCCTATAGCATAAATGATGAAACAGTGATTCACATTCTGACTTAATCCTTGTTAGTAGATAACTTGGCAATATAACCAAGGCTAAGAACTAACCATTGTGGCCACAGGGCAAGGAGAACCCTCTACTCACCAAAGGGCCAGTAGACAATCATCTCAGAGCCCAAGGGTAAGTGCATCAGGACCATTGGAGGGCTGGTCTTTGCTCTGGTGTTCCCCCAACTAAGCCTGTGGCATCCAGTTATGTGGAGTGTTTATGTGTGGGAGGATATTCATTATCCAAACTTAACGCTGTGTTTTTATACCCAACTCTAGTTTCTTCCTGTTTACTCCTTAATCTCTCTGAGCATCGGGAGTCAGTTTGGACTTTATATGTTGAAAAGGAGCTGGGAAATAAGAGGCTACTTCCAAGGGCAGCTTTGCCTGTTTGTCAGAGGTATAGAGCTCTCAGCCACCCTGAGCTAACAAATACCTGAAGCCATTGTATGAGGTCTCCCATCCATAGCAGGGTAGGCACATGTGATGCATGCAGTTAGGGTACAAGGAAAAGTTGCAATCTGAGAATTAAGACATGTCCCCATACCATCTGCTAGGGGCACATCAAAAAGTCCATTTTTTTTCTCTTCCCTTTAGGCTGATACCATCATGCTTTCTTGGGTAGCCTTCCCCAGCCTTATACTGCTTTGGGCAGGTAAGTGGATAGGTGGGCTAGAATTTGGAAGGCCTGGGCATGGGGGAGTGTAGGATTGTGTGTGGGTGTGGGGGAGGAAGATGGATGTGCTTGGACTCTGTTGGAAGGTAATAGGTCAACTTTTGAGAGCAAAGAACCAGGCTGAAAAAAAAAAATCTGAAATGATATGAATCACAAAATCTAAGGTGAAGTAGAACACTTTGTTATATGCTGCCATTTGTATTTAAGAAAAAAAGCGGGTGGTGGGTAGTTGGGTATATATGGACTTCTCACATGTATGTAAGAAATAGTACCAACTTTTTCCTGGTATGAAAAGAAGAGATGGTGCTAGGAGGGAATGAAAAGAAGAGATGGTGCTAGGATGGAAAGAGACAAGTCTTTCATTGTACATTTTGTATATGTGTTTTTAACTATGTGTAAATAATGCTGTTAAAAATAAGATATGTCCTGGCTAGTGTTGCTCAATTGGTTGGGCATCTCCCCATGCACCAAAAGGTCTCTGGTTCAATTCCCAGTCAGGGCACATGCCCGGGATTCCTGGCTGGATCCCAGGTACAGGGCATGCAGGAGGCAGTCTATCACTGTCTTCTTGTCATACCAATGTCTCTCTCTCTCTCTCTTATCCTCTCTTTTATACTCCCTCTAAAAATGAATAAAAAAAATCTTTTAAAAAGTATAAATAATATAGAGGGATCCCCCCAAATACACACACACACACACACACACACACACACACACACACAGTGTTTCCCTGAAAATAAGACATCCTCCGAAAATAAGACCTACTTACAGGTTTCCTTCTGAGTGAAATATAAGGCATCCCCCAAAACTAAGCCCCCCCCCCCCAGGCTAAACATGAAAGATTTGGTCCACTGATTCTGAAAGAAATGGAGTCACAAGAAATTCACCAGGAAATTCAGGAATTGGATTGTTATGATGATGTTCCAGAAGATGATGACATGATTGTCATTGAATAAATGAGTAAATTCTTGATACTGTAGGATTCACAGTTTGTCTGGTTTGTGTTGACAACTACCATACTACCGTACTGTATACAGGTAATAAATTTCCTTTATTTTCATTTAACAATAAATGTGCTCCGTATTCTTCTTCATGGAAAAATAAGACATCCTCTGAAAATAAGACCTAGTGCATCTTTGGGAGCAAAAATTAATATAAGACACTGTCTTATTTTCGGGGAAACACACACACACACACACACACACACACACACACACACACATTTTAACAGCCAATAACTCAATTTTTAAAATAAAATGTATTTAAATAAACACTGTATTTATAATTATTCAAAGTGTGTGAATACCTTGTTGGGACACCCTGTATATTATTTCAAACATTCGATGAGTTGGAAAATAGGTATATCCTAAATTAAAAAAAAAAAATCATCAGATGTGATGCGATTATGGGGATAAGTTCATTTAAATTATACTTCCATACTACATTCTTAAGTTAGCATACTATATTTGTAATCTACAATGATGTTAGACAAAATTAAATATTATAGGAATTAAGAGAAAAAAATAGACTCTTACTTCAATTAACAATCACATTTTATTTCCAGAGCACTTTGAAATTCACAGCCCAGTCCTAACTATGATTAGTTGGGGTACAGCATAGGGAATATAGTCAATAATATTGTAATAATGATGAATGATGTCAAATGGGTACTAGTCTTATTGGGGGAATCACTTCATAAGTTTCTTAAATGTCTAATCACTATTTTGTATACCTTCAACTAATATCATATTGTATATAAATTGTAATTAAAAAAAATAAGGTTAGTTGGTACATCTCAGATTTCATTTAAGGACCAACTTGACTGCATTTAACAGTATAGGATTTTAAAAATATGTATATTTTTATTGATTTCAGTGAGAAGAAGGGAGTACATCAATGATTAAAGAGAATCATTGCTAGGATGTCTCCTGCACGCCCCCTACTGGGGATTGATCCTGCATTCTCCTCTGTACCCCAACATGGAATTAACCTTTAACCTCCTGGCTCATAGATTGATGCTCAACCACTGAGCCATACCTGGCTGGCGACAATATGGGGTTCTAATGCCACTAGTACTGGAGAGAGTTTTTTTTTTTTTTTTTTTTTTAAGTGGCTTAATTTAGTACTTGATTGAATATTGTCCAATTCTCTGGATTCACCATGGGAAGTGTGCCTCATTCTAGTGCCAGCTGTTATCTACTCATGAGAATGATTTATACTTGAATTTTTTGAACCATCCTCAAGAGCATGATCAGCCTTGGCTCCTCTGGAACCATTAGAAACCCATTTTCTATAAATTGATTCCTGAAGAGTTTATTAGACTTTTGCCTATAAGGCAGTGATACTTTATTATCTTTAAATTTAAATTTTTGTTTAAAATCATTGATTTATTATTCTACTTATGCATTTATTGGTTGATTCTTGTATGTGCCTTAACTGGGGATCAAACTCAAACCTTGGCATACTGATGATGTTCTAACCACCCAAGATACCAAGCCAGGGCCTAATAATACTTAATTAATTTATTTAAAATATGTATGTACATCAGCCTGTGTTTTGGGCTTGATCCCCAGTATTGACAATCATTTGGTTCAACAATTTTGGAAATAAATTTGATAAAAAAATTTTTGCTCTTTGCCCTGGTAATTTCTATTTTAAGAAGTTTATCTTATTGGGAAACAATTCTAAATAAAGAAATAACTTTAGCCCTAGCCAGTTTGGCTCAGTGGATAGAGTGTCAGCCCATGGATTGAAGGGTCCAAGATTTGATTCTAGTCAAGGGTATGTACCTCGGTTGCAGGCTCGATCCCAGCCATGGTCAGGGCTCATGCACGAGCTTACAAGTCAATGTATGTCTCTTACATTAATATTTCTCTCTCTCTGTCTCCCCCCTCTCTTCCACTATTCTAAAAGTTAATGGAAAAATATCCTTGGGTGAGGATTAACAAAAAAACAACAACAACAACAACAAAAAGAAAATAAATAAGTTTAAATTAAAAAAGAAAGAAGTTTAGTCTATCAAGAAACCAAAATGCTGATAAAGATGTAAAAATTTTTATATTTAAGATTAAAGTCACATGATTACAAACAAAATAAACCATATCAAGAGAAGTAAGTGGGTGTAAATGTAAAATTCAAATATTGAGACCTCATACTCAGTTTTGTTTTTATTTGCAGATGTTGTAGTTTCTCAGACACGCGTGACTGGAGTGGTGGGACAAACTGTCATGCTACCCTGTAGCTACTCTACAGCTCGTGTAATTGCACCTATGTGCTGGGGCCGAGGATCATGCCCTTTATACAGATGCTCAGATTCAGTTGCATGGACTGATGGCTACCGTGTCACCTTTACGAAGGACAAGCGTTATAGGATGAATGGAATCATTTCCATAGGGAATTTGTCTTTAACCATAGAGAATGCAGCCCTGTCTGACACTGGCATCTATTGTTGTCGTATTGAGTTCAAAGGGTGGTTTAATGATTATAAAAAGAATATATGTTTGGAGATAAAGCCAGGTGAGTTTGTCTTCCTGTGACCTCTTCATGTGCATGAACTGAGATGTTTACTGTTTGGAAATGATATCCTCTTCCTTTAGGAAAGAGAGCGGAGGTTCTGACAATCCTGTTTTGTTTTGTTTTTTTTTAATAACTTTGGTGAAATAGAATTACTTACTTTGTAGAATGAAGTGTTAAAAGAATCTAGTCAAGAATGGAGATTAGAAAAAAAGAAAAAAAAAGAATGGAGACTAGAGGGCCTTCCCAGTCTGCAGACTATCTCTTAAAGCAGTGCTTCAAAAATACTGGTTAGCTCATCACGAGGTATTCATGGCTCCATAGGGAGATGAGGTGTATATTTTTCTCAAACTAATTTAATGTAAACAACTGCACTTTTCCTCTGAGATGATGTCATTGAAATTTATAAAATAGGTGGGGTCTCTGTATAATATATTTAATCCCAGTGCAGTCTGGAGCTTCCGACTCCTTCAGCTATGGAGAGGCTGCAGCAACCTCCGTAGTCAGACCTCTCTGTGTGCACTCACTCAAGCATGAGCGCCTTTAGACTCTGCCCGCTGCTGCTCCAGGCTCCCCTGAGTCTCCCAGTCTCTGAGTCTCTAGATGCCTTTCTCTATAGTTCAGACTCCACCCATATGAGCCTAGGTCTACTGGGCTTCGGCCGGGGTTGGGGTTCAGTGCAGTTGGAACTGGGGTCCAGTGCAGTCAGGGGCTTCCTTTCCCCTCCGCCAGTCAGGCACTTGGCCACCCTTTCTGCACTCATGCGTCTCCCTACCTCAGCGCTTTGTGGCTCCCCTGATCCGTGAACCTCTCTCCTTCTTTATAGTTGTAGATTTCCCACTCAGCCAGCTTTCCTGTGTTTTTGGATGATGTCCATTCTGTCTTTTAGTTGTTGTTTTGAAATTGTTGTGAGAGGTGGCAGCTTAGGTGCACAAAGTTCTTGTTCCCTGATGCTTGATTAATCCTTGCTTTCATGTTGATTTCTAGCTCCAACCACTGCTCCACCACCACATAAGGTCCTCACTTCTGCTCATACAACTCCAGCGACCATGAAGAACCTCAAGACAGGTAAAGCCATTTGTTTCTGAGGCCAGAGGCCTTCTAGTAAGAGGATGGAAACTACCCAGGGCATGTGTTAAAATGTCTAATTCAAGGTAAGGGTTCTTAGGTGGCTCCAAGCAAGTGTTTCATAGGGGCTGTGAACCCTAGTCTCATATTATATCCAGCTTTTGTAACTATAAGTATTTTCAGAATAGGAAGACTCATGAGGTTTTTAAAAACTATTTATTGTTGAAAGTATTATAGATATTCCCTTTTTCCTCTCATAAATCCCTTCTAGTCTGCACCCACACCCTCCCCCGAGGCCTCACCATACAATTTTCTCTATCCATGGGTTATGCGTATATGTATGCAAGTTCTTTAGTTTATCTCTTCACATCCACCCACTCACTCCCAACTTCCTTCTGAGATTTGACAATCTATTCCATGCTTTTAGGCTCATTGGTTTTTCTGGTCATATTCTCAAAGGCATTCATTATTAGTCCCCCCGCCCTCTGACCATTATTCTTTGATATCTAATGAGGATGGAGTGGATTTTGCCCAATGAGCACAGGTTTAAGAGGAAAATACAGGAAATGACAGAGAAAATGGTCAAGTTAATGGCATTCAGTTCTCCCAAGGAGTTCTGAATAAGGACCCTTTACTTCACTCTGAAGTTAGACCCTCTACCTGAGAATAAGATTGCAGTGAAGTTAATATTCGCTCTGTCTCCTATGTCAGGAACCATGCTAAATACTTTGCAAATATTATATCACTGAGTTCTTATGACAACCCTATACATTTTATGTGTGATTCCTTCTTATTTTATAGGGTGCTGTCAAGTAGGTACAGCACCAGCTTTAACAATTGTCCTTTCAATCTTATTTGTATATACATTGTGTAAGCATTGAAGTAGACAAGTTCATTAGAAAAAATCTGGTTAGTTTTCCTTCTATTTATTGTTCCTTATGTTCCTTTAAAATGACTTTTTTTTTTGCATGTTTGCTTCCCCCTCCATATTATATTTAAAATTGGAGAAAGGAACTTGGATTGTATCTTCCTAAAAGCCTCTGATTATACCTTAGACTAGAGTCAGCAAACAATAGTGCAAGGCCAGATTAGATTCAAATTAAGCCCACCAACTGCTTCATAAATAAAGTTTTATTGGAGCAATCATATCCAATTATCTTTTATATAGAAACCTTTACACTGTTATAGTTAAGCCTCTGAGATCATCCAGCCACCAGAGCCTAAGCATTTATTCTCTGGCTCTCACAAAAGTTTGATGACCTCTGCTTTAGATTAATGCCTTCCATGCAATAGACACAAATATTTGTTGAAAACATGTTGTTGTTTTTTCCTCTTCAAGACAAAAATTAGCTCAATTCCATATTAAACTAGATCTCTCCAAAGAAGAGCTTCCAAGTCAATAGACTCCTATACAATGGACTCCTCTTTTATACTCATTAGAGTTAGATTTAAAAATCTTCTTGTATCTGGGCCAGTGTTGCTCAGTGATTGAACATTGACCTATGATTCAATTACAGTCAGGACACATGCCCAGGTTATGGGCTCAATCCCCAGTGTGGGGCTTGCAAGAGGCAGTCAATCAATGGTTCTCCCATCACTGATGTTTCTATTTCTCTCTTCTTCTCCCTTCCTCTCTGAAATCAATAAATTACATTGTTAAAAAAAAAAGAAAAAAAAGAAAGCTTATTGTTAAAGAAAAATAAGGTGTTTGGTGAGAAAAAGGGCCAAATTCTTTTTAATATATTTTATTGATATTTTACAGAGAGCAAGGGAGAGAGATAGAGAGCTAGAAACGTTGATGAGAGAGAAACATCGACCAGCTGCCTCTTGTACACCCCCTACTGGGGATGTGCCCGCAACCAAGGTACATGCCCTTGACCGGAATCGAACCAGGGACCTTTTAGTCCACAGACTGACACTCTACCACTGAGCCAAACTGGTTTCGACAAGGGCCACATTCTTGATCAGGCCTTCATTGATCTACTTTTGCTTCTGAGCCATGCATTGTGTTTAGGCTTAATTCTAGCTCCAGCTCTCTCTCTGGGCAGTTGGAGACCTTCTGTAAGTGAGCTGCAATCCTACATCACCTCTGACTGCAAAGAGTCAAAAATATTTCTTGTGGTTTAGTTCACCTTCATCCAAATGTATGTTGTATAAATCCTTCCTGTGATCTTGCATCTGCTGGTGGGGCTGAGTTAATCCTCATCTGTGGTGCCAATCACTTGAGAGGGTACCCTCAGGTACCTGAATTTAATGCTACTTATTTGGTAAACATTTTGGGTCTCGGAGCTGCTATTTAAGTAAGTCTTAGTCATTCACCATTGAGAAGACTAAGACAGGTCCAGACTCTAGGTATTTTCTGTACCTCACAGATGTTTATCTGATATGCATGGATGATCTTTTCACAATAATTCAGCTTTAATTCTGGTTAACCCTTTTCACCTCTGATTGTCCTAAAGTGTATACATTTCAGTGCATGTTTTCCATTGGCCAGATGGTTTTCAGATTTTAATTGAGAAAGGATAAGGACTCTGAGTTCAGGAGAGGTTGATGCCCAGTTATGCCTGGGGGCAGTCTCTCATTAGTTTAATTGATATAAAGGCATAGCACAAAGCTCTTGTTCCTTGCTGCTTGATTAATCCTTGCTTTTATGTTGATTTCTAGCTCCACCTAAGGTCACCAGTGTTCCAACACCACCTAAGGTCACCAGTGTTCCAGCACCACTTAAGGTCTCTACCTTTGCTCCTACAACTCTAGCACCCACACGGAACCTTCAGATAGGTAAACTTATGTATTTCTGAGGCTATAAGCTTTCTACTGAGTAGATGAAGACCACCAGAGTATGTGTTAAGGTGGAGTTGCCATCTATGCTAAAGGTTTTTCCCTGGGCTCCATAGGGCCTCATGTGATCTGTGAAACCTTGTCCCATATTACATGCATCTAATAGGTATCTTCAGAGTGAGGGGATCCATTTTTTTAAATTGGATCCTCAAAGGGTTTCATCATTAGCCAAAGAACCCAGACCTGTGATTTTGGATAACTATGTGGATTTGGTTCAGTTGGGCACTGGTTTATGAATAAAATCTAGGTAAGTTCAGAGAAGAAGAGAAATCTGAGTGTTTTTCCTTTCATCCTCTCAAGGAAGCTTCTCCTGGGATACAAAGGTGCCCGGTGAGAAAAGGTACACATTGTAAATCAGGCATTCATTGATGGTCATTTGTGCAAGGCACTGTGTATGTGCTTAATTTTAGTGTTATCTTTCTCTTTCTCTTGGTAACTCTGAGACCTTCTGTAAATACTTTGAAATCATAGATCTATACTATCATTGAAAGAGCCCAAGTTATTACTTTTTTCATCTCTTTTAAAAAATATATATTTTATTGATTTTTTACAGAGAGGAAGGGATAGAGATGGAGAGCTAGAAACGTCGATGAGAGAGGAACATCGACCAGCTGCCTCTTGCACACCCCTTACTGGGGATGTGCCCGCAACCAAGGTACATGCCCTTGATGGGAATCGAACCCAGGACCTTTCAGTCTGCAGACCGATGCTCTATCACTGAGCCAAACCAGTTTCGGCCTTTTTTCATCTCTTAGTTGGGAAGGAATCATTAGTGGTCTAATTCAACTTTCAACCAAGTGTATAATGTATAAATGGTCCCTGTGATCTAGCATATACTTGTGGGGTGAGTTAATTTAGGTGCAGGACACCTGGGAGGGTATCCTCAGGATTGGCTGAAATGAATGCTATTTATTGAGTAAACATTCTGGGCCTGGAACTACTGCTTAAATCTTAGTCATTCACTACAGAGAGGACAAGGACATGTCCTGGCCCTGGACATTTTCTCCATTTCACTAGTGTGTATAAAGATATATAGCCCTAATCTATTTGGCTTGGTGGATAGAGCATTTGCCCTCAGATAGTAGGGTCCCAGGTTTTATTCCAGTCAAGGGCACATACCTGTGTTCCAGGTTTGATCTCCAACCCTATCAGGGTTGGAAGGCAATTGATATCTCTCTCTCTCTCTCTCTCCCCCCTGCTCCCACTCTCTGTAAAAATCTATGGGAAAATGTCCTCAGGTGAGGGTTAAAAAGAAAAAAAGATATGTAAATTTAATATACATGGCTAGTGTTTTCAAAATGCTTCAGTGAATATGCCAGTAACCTTTATCAACTCTGGAATATATGCTTTTCGATGCAGCTGTTTCCTTTTTGCAGGCTGGTCCTCAACCCCACCCCTGTTAGATTCTACTACAGTGGTGCCTCACACAACGAACTTAATTCGTTCCAGGAGCAAGTTTGTTATGCGAAAAGTTCGTTATGTGAAACGCGTTTTCCCATAACAATACATGTTAAAAAAAATAATTCGTTCTGTAGCATAAAATATGCTAAGATGACATAAAAAAAGATAAATTTTTTGTTATTATTTTTATTTAGATACATCTAAAAACATAATTTTTTTTTAAAAAAACACACATTTTTTTAATTTTAAGACAGACTAAGTAGAGTCTACCGAATCTTGCACATCTTCATCCATTTTCTGCTTTTTGGCCGATGGTTTCATGAAAAACCTGTCCAAAGTCGTTTGTTTTTCTCTTTTCTCCAACATCTGCCGGAAATAACGGACAAGAGTATCGGAGTAAAGATCGTTGATCCTGTTTGCTTCAGCTGAATCCAGATAGTGGGCATTGGTAAACTCCTGAACTGCTTTCCATTTGACCAGGATGTTCTTGATGTCAGCAGTTGGGATTGGTTGATTGTTTGATTGTTGCTCCTCGTTATCAGATGACGCTTCCCTTTGAGCATTGTCCTGTTTCTGGACCAGAAGTGCTTGGAGCTCTTCAGTTGTCAGCTCTTCTTCGTGTTCCTCAATAAGCTCCTCTACATCCTCTTCCTCTACCTCTAATTCCAACCTTTGGGCCACTGTGATGATGTCCTTCACCACTTCTGTGTCATCAACTACTTCTTCTTCCTGGGTCCACGAAGGCACAAGCATCTTCCAAGCAGAAATGAGGGTCCTTTGTGACACTTCTTCCCAGGCCTTCTGTATAAGTCGTATTGCCATAAGGACATCAAATTTCTCCTTCCAAAACTTTTGGACAGTCATATTGTCTCCACCAAACTTGCATTCTTCAAACACCTTATTAAAGAGGGCTCTAGTGTAGAGTTTTTTAAAGTTCGCAATAACTTGCTGATCCATTGGCTGAAGAATGGATGTGGTGTTTGGTGGCAAATACTGCACCTTGATAAAAGGATAATTTTCCTGCAATATTTCCTCTAGGTCTTTTGGGTGAGAAGGGGCATTGTCAAGTACAGTATCAGAAGGGCTTTGAGCGGCAGTTCTTTTTCCAGCAAGAATTTCTTCACGGCAGGAGCAAAGGTTTCCAGAATCCATTCGTTGAAGATAACTTGGGTCACCCAGGCTTTTTGATTGGACTTCCAATGGACGGGCAGTTTGGACTTAATAACGTTATTTTTCTTGAAAATTCTTGGATTTTCAAAGTGATAAACCAATAGAGGTTTGATCTTGAGGTCTCCGCTGGCATTAGACGAAAACATAAGGGTAAGTCTGTCCTTCATGGCTTTGTGTCCTGGCAATTTCTTCTCCTCTTTTGTAATGAAGGTTCTGCTCGGCATTCTTTTCCAGAAAAGACCTGTTTCATCGGCATTGAACACTTGTTGTGAGCAGTATCCTTCATCCTTAATACATTTTTGAAAGTTAATAGAGAACTTTTCTGCTTCTTTCTTGTCAGCACTGCCAGCCTCACCATGCATAGTAACGCTGTGGATTCCACACCTTTTCTTAAATCTAAAAAACCACCCCCTGCTGGCTTTGAATTCTTCTTCATTATCTTGATTGCTGCTACTTCCAGGGACGTTTTTCTTTAGATCGTCATAAATTCTCTTGGCTTTGTGACAGATAATATCTTGGGTTGTTATGTCACCTTTCACCTGCCTGTCCTTAACCCAAATCGCTAATAGCCTCTCCATTTCCTCGTGGATTGAAGACCTATGTTTTTCATGAAATAGTTTTGATACTCCTTTGGCTACTTTGGCTGATTTGATTGCATCCTTATTTGTCAAAATGGTGAAAATGGTGGTCTTGCTGAGGCCAAACTCTTTGACGAGGTCACACTGTTTTACCCCACATTCACTCCTTCTAATTATTTCCTGTTTCATTTCAACAGAAATCACCTTCCTGCTTTTTTTAGAAGCCATGATATAAAAAAAATATTGAGTTTAACTTAAAAGGACGACTGCCGTGATACGTGCATGATTTAATTCGTAATGAAGAACGATTGCCGCGATACGTGCTTAAGTTAAGCGCAGTGACTAACGACTGCCTGCAGTGCCTGCGCGGAAGGATGCAATACATCGGCAGCGATCGTGGAAGCTCGGGCGAAGCAGTCGTGGAAGCTCGGGCAAAGCGGTCGTGGAAGCTCGGGCGACTTCGTTGTGTGAAACAAAGTTCGTTGTATGAATCATGAAATGAAGTTTGTTGTGTGCAGCGTTCGCTGTGCGAGGCGTTCTTTATGCGAGGCACCACTGTAGATTAAGGACAAGAGATCTGAGTTTAGGGGAGAATAGTGCCAAATTCTGCCTAATTTGGATATGTTGATGTGCAGACCCAGCACAAAGCTCTCATTCTCTGCTTCTTGACTAATCCTTGCTTTCATGTTAATTTCTAGCTACACCTAATGTCACCATAATCCCAACATCATCTACTGGTATGATTTCCACCTCTGCTACTGCCACGCCAGCACGCATGCAGAAATTCAAGATGGGTAAATTGATGTGTTTCTGAAGTCATTAACTTATTAGAGAACAAAACAGTCCAGGTTCTAGACATTTTTTTCTTACCTCACTGATGTTTATGAAGATACATAAATCTGATATGCATGGTTGGTCCTCTCAAAGTGCTTCAGTGTTAATCCCAGGTATCCATTTTCACTTTTGAACTTCCTGGGATGTATACTTTTCTTTGGGCTTAGAGTCCTAATAGGGGTGCGTGCAGGAGTCAACCAATCAATGTGTTTCTCTCACATCAATGTTTCTGTCTTTCCCCCTCTCTTCCACTCTTTCTAATAATCAATGGAAAAATATCCTCAGTGAGAATTAACAACAACAACAAAAGAATTTTATGAAGTTTGAAAATCTGGGAAGTTTGCAGTTCTTCAGTCTTGATGTGGATATTCCAACCCTTATTATTCAATGATAGGAGTAGGTATTTGAGGATTTCCTAGTTTCTAGTGTTCCTTCTAATGAATCTTTGTCCACTGAAGATTTATATTGACAGCAGAATACAATGTCTGTGGCCTCAATAAGCTATATCTTTCTGTCTCTCTCTCTCTTCAATTAAGAGACACTTTATTTTGTCAATTCACATTTTTGAACTAGGCTTATTTTCTTACAGCAGTGTTTCCCAAAGTGTGTTACGCATACCCGCAGGGGTATGGGAAGAGTTTGGTGGGGATATGCCCTGCACCATGCTTAGCTGCGCCTAATTCTATGTTCTCATGAGTACAAGGGGTTCTCAGCGTTACGAAAATTATAGAAAGGGTACACATATGTCAAAAGTTTGGGAAACACTATCTTACAGGAAGTAAGATAAGGTCAATTCAGATGGAGAAAACAGCTGACTCTGTGGAAACTATATCTGGGAGGCAATTCAGGGAAGCCAAAGAAGCTGATGAGATAGTGCTCTATATACAGATGTGGGGAGGGAGCATGTGGAAAAGAGATTATGATTATGAAATTTGGGCGTTGTGAAGTTATTTTGATCTATCTTAATTTTTAAATACAACATGGAAAAGAACAAGAATTGAGAGACTTTTATAGTGTCTCCCAATTCTTTAACAGACATATTTGAGCCTCCAAGAACTAAATCTTTGCTTAAGTTTTCTTTCATTTTTCATAGGCTCAGCTTACTCCCCACCTTTCTGTAAGAGGTTTTTCTTATCCGGAATCTACACTTATATCTTCCTAGCTTCTTCTTGGAGAAGATATTTTCTACTGATGAAGATAAATTCATTACTAGATCTGTCTTGGTTTCCTCCACTTTATTGTTCCTTGTGCTCCTTTGACCAGATTTTTTGCATGCTTACTTTTTTCTCTATATTAGATTTTAAACTGGATGGGAAGGATTAGACCATATACTTCTTTTTAAAAAAGTATTTTTATTGTGAGAGAGAGAGAGAGAGAGAGAGAGAGAGAGAGAGAGAGAGAGAGAGAGAGAGAGAAAGAGAGAGGGAGAGAGAATGTGAAAGAGAAACAGCAGTCAATTGCCTCCAATACTACAGTAGCTCAACTGGAAATTGAACTTGAAACCTGGGCATGTGTCCCGATCAGGAATTAAATTGGTGGGTGACCTTTTGGTGCATGGGGTGGTGCAAAAACTACTGAGCAACACTGGCCAGGGTTAGGCTGTATACTTCTTAAAAGCCTCTGACTATAACTTAGATCAGTGTCAGCCAACATTATAGCTCAGAGCTTTATCATATTCAAAACAGGCCCACCAATTTTTTTATAAATAAGTTTTATTGGAATAGCTAAACCCAATCCTTATACTGTCTTGTCTGTGGCACTGAGACCATAGGGCTCCCAAAGCCTAACACACTTACTGTCTGGCCCTTTACAGAAAGTGTGCTGACTTCTGCTTAAGATTAATGCCTTGCATGTGATAAAAACTCTGCTTCTTGATTAATGCTTGCTTTCATGTATTGATTTCTAGCTCCACCTAATGTCACCATGGGCCCAACATCACCTATGGTCTCCACGTCTGCTTCTACAAAGCCAGCAGGAGGTCAGCGGAAATTCAAAACAGGTAAATTAATATGTGTTCCAGCCGTTGCCCTTCTTTTTTATTTATTTATTTTTTAATATTTTTATTGATTTCAGAAAGGAAGGGAGAGGGAGAGAGAGAAAGAGAAAAAACACACACAAACCTGAATGATGAGAGAGAATCATTGATTGGCTGCCTCCTGTATATCTCTTATTGGGGACACAGCCTCAAACCTGGCCATGTGTCCTTTACCAGAATTGAACCTGGGGCCCTTCAGTCTGCAGGCCAACATTTTATCCACTGAGCCAAACTAGCTAGGACCAGCCCTTGGCCTTCTAATGAGAGGATGTAGACTGCCAAGGGCATGTGATAAGGCAGAGTTACAATCTAGGGTATGAATTCCTTCTTGGTTTATAAAGGTGGGCCTCACAGTGTCTTTGAATCTGTGTTCCATATAAATGCACTTAAAAAAAACCAACCACAACTGTGCTGTAGTTTACATCCCCCTGACGATCTTATAACTACTAATTTGTACTTCTAAATCCCTTGAACTTTTTCACCCATCCCCTAACTCCGAGGTCGGCAAACTGTGGCTCATGAGCCACATGTGGCTCTTTGGCCCCTTGAGTGTGGCTTTTCCACAAAATACCACAGCCTGGGTGAGTCTATTTTGAAGAAGTGGCATTAGAAGAAATTTAGGTTTAAAAAATTTGGCTCTCAAAAGAAATTTCAATCGTTGTACTGTTAATATTTGGCTCTGTTGATTAATGAGTTTGCCGACCACTGCCCTATCCTATCTCCCATCTACTAAGTTCTTTACAAGCATTATATTACTTAATTCTTATGACAGCCCTATGCATTGTAGGTGTGATTCAGTTCTACTTTATTATTTATTTATTTTTAAATACATTTTATTGATTTTTTACAGAGAGGAAGGGAGAGAGATAGTCAGAAACATCGATCAGCTGCCTCCTGCACACCTCCTATTGGGGATGTGCCTGCAACCAAGGTACATGCCCTTGACCGGAATCAAACCTGGGACCCTTCAGTCCGCAGGCTGATGCTCTATCCACTGAGCCAAACCGGCCTCGGCTCAGTTCTACTTTATAGTTGTGGGCACAGAGTTCAAATTCATTGTTGAAAGACACATGAGTAGAAAGTGGTTGAGTCAGGATTCAGGCTCCATTATTTTAAATTTGTGGCTGTTCTTATAACTACAGGATGGTGCTTCTACTATGAGGACTGAAGTCATAGAATGAATTTGTCCTTATCTGATACCCTCATTGAAAAAGCCTTTATATAATTACCCTGTCTTTTTATGCCAGTCAGTGACAGTTTTGCTTATAGCATTCTTTACTTTAGTATGTAGCATAAAATTTTAAAAAATCCTGTTTATACTGATGACAAAGTAAATATCTGATTTAAGGATTTCAAGGATTTAGAATGTATGGCTTCTCTTTTCTTTTAAAAAAATATATTTTATTGATATTTTACAGAGAGGAAGGGAAAGGGATAGAGAACTAGAAACATCGATGAGAGAGAAATATTGACCAGCTGCCTCCTGCACACCCCCTACTGGGGATGTGCCCCAACCAATGTACATGCCCTTGACCAAAATCAAACCTGGGACCTATTCACTGAGCCAAACCAGTTTCAGCATGGCTTCTCTTTTCAATTCAAGCTACATGCTTCAAGTTTCTGATAGTTAAGAGTTTAGATATAATTCAAATTGAGAATAATTTGATGCATGGGTGGGGAAATAGCTTGGCCTCCTGAGGACAAGTTCAGGTTCAAACCTTATTTTTAAGAATAAAAAGATAACACTTAGTGAAGATTCTCAAAGCTTTTCAAACTCTTTGACTCCTTGAGGTGATCTGGATTCTGAAGAGTAACAGAAATGTCTCAACCTCTTAGCCAGTGAAATCTGATGAAACATTGATTTTCTTTAACTCCCATTGAGCCTTGTGTATATTTATTTGGTAACCAATAGGGATCTGAAGCATTTGGGTGTTGAGTTGAGTTTGGAGGAGAAGGCTTCAGGTTAGAACTCAGATTTTAGAGCCATAAAAGTATATAAGAAAAATAGCTTTGTTCCAGGCAGCTGAGCATACTAGAGAATCTGTTGACTTTCTTAATATTGATTTAGCTTCTTTATACTTAGTTTGACATAGTGTGTGCCTTTAAAAGTGTGAGGATTAGTGAACTTGGTTTAGTGAAAATATATGTTTTTTACTTTATTTAAAGCAGAGATTTAGAAGAAAAGATTTGTGTGACTTTCTGAGGAACATTAACTGTATCATTCATTAAATTGAACCTTATATTTATGCTGATAATTTTCTAAGGAGTTTGAGTCTAGAGTTGAGCTTTATAGTACAGGATGGAGGTGAGCACTGGAGCTAATTTAATTCAGAGACATTTACTTTTACATCCACTTCCTGTCTGTCCTCAGTGCTTCCAGCACATTTTCACTTCCTAAAATATGCATGAAATGGTTGAATGTAAATGTCTTACCCTTGGATAATCTTAGTTTCTTATATTGCCCTGTTCTTTGTTCCTAAAGAGAGCCACATCCGGTAATAGGGTTCAGTGTTAAAGGAAAATATGAAATGGGTTCAGAAGATAAGGAAGGGTGATGTAGAAATGTGAAGATGGTGGCAGGAAAGAGGAAACAGGAAGACTGATGAAAGGCAAAAGGAAAGCCCAGGTTTGAGAATTCTTGCCAAGCCAGCACCACTAATTTGCTCTAAGTTCTGTGGTGCTTTCTGGGAGGGAATGTGAAGATTTTATAAGGAGGCAAGTGATGCATAGCGGTGTGCTTGAGAATTCTCAGTGAAGGTTTTTGGTGAGAAATGGAAGATGAGTCAGATAGCACAGGAAATCAGTCATACAGAATGAGTGAGCAGAATGCAACTGAAGGAGCTGGGGTCACGGTCTACCAGGAGTCTGACTTTGAGGGTTGTGAATCATTACCAAGTTGAGAGACTGGGCAATGTAGTCACCTTGAAGAGACTTTAAGGAATTAAATATTGTGAGGATGAGTATCACATGCTGGTACATATACAGTCTCTCTGGAAAGATGTGTGGATGGATAATCATGAACTTCAATAATGTCAGAAGATCCAGATTGGGGTTATTGTGAAGATGGGATGACAGATTTGTGTAAATTCCTAGGCCCTGTTTTATGAACATGAAATGTTATTTGTATGGATAAAAGCTTAATCAGGTGTCTTACATAAGATACACAGTCATAGGCATTATGATTTAGGGAGGTCCTAAGAGTATGAAAAGTATGAAATAAGTCTGTCTATAGATAACTATCCAGACCATTATCTATATCAGATTTATTCCTGATTAAAAAAAAAAAAACTTAATTGGCAGTGCAATGTCTCAATGTTATCTTTGAATAAATTTCTAAGAAAGAGTTGAAGGTAATTCCCAATTTTATGTTTGTTGCCTATTTTTGTTGTGGCTGGATATTTTTCTCTACAAATAGAACAGAGCTCTTTTGTCCTTTTTATTCCAGAAACCACTTCATCTTCTGCAGTGCAGACAACAGAAATCCAGCCTCTCACACCACAGGAAACAAGTACGACCAGCTCATCATTGAACTCTTCTTTCTCAACGGGTAACTGCATTTTCTTTTTTTAAATATATTTTATTGATTTTTTTACAGAGAGGAAGAGAGGGGGATAGAGAGTTAGAAACATCGATGAGAGAGAGTCATCGATCAGCTGCCTCTTGCACACCCCCTGCTGGGGATGTGCCCGCAACCAAGATACATGCCCTTGACTGGAATTGAACCCAGGACCTTTCAGTCCGCAGGCAGACACTCTATCCACTGAGCCAAACTGGTTTCGGCAGTAACTGCATTTTCTTTCCTAAAGACTTAGAGCATTCAAAATTTGAAAGTCATTGACATGTAGTTGAGAGCACATATTGTTACATGAGTGCTGATACTCGCCACTCTAATCTATGTGACTGAAACAAATGTCTTACCCTCTCTGAATCTGTTTTCATCATTTCTAAAATGGACAGAACATCACTGATCATGCAGAATCCTTGTGAGCATTAAATGAGATGAAGAACTTGGGACCTAAGTGTAGGGGGATAAGTGATAGATACAATAGCAACTATGATTATTACTTAGATGTCCAGAGTACATATATCTGACTAACATAGGCAGCTTGTATGATTTGGGAACCCCCACATGCATATACTGATTTTTCTAAATCAAATGAATCAATTTTGACTCATTATTTATTACTCGGCTTGCTCCCTTGGACCAAAGCTGTAAAACAATTATCTCCAGACCAAAACAGTCCATCTGTGTTTACATTTTTCCAAAGCTCCAGAGTCTAAATTCACCCAGCAGGCTGTTCTGTTGCCTTGGCAGGCTTGCAGGTACTAATAGACACTTAGTGATGGGTTGGGGACAACAATGCTGGCACCAAAGAGAGAATCTCCCCCATTCTCTCCATTCTGGGAGATCCCATGTAGTCTCTACTCTTGAAAGGGAAGATTGACCTGTCTTTCCCATGGTGGAAAAATGTGACACTGAAGCCTATCATCTTTCCCAGCTAACTCTGTACTCCATAGTGGGAAGTGTGGGGAGTGCCACATGCTGAACCCCTTTGTTCAGCAGAAGAGCTGACTATGTGTCCTTGTGCTGTATCCAAACAAGGTCAAACCTTGCAAGACTCCTCCTGTGTATGACTCACTGTACTAAGGAGTTGACAATCTGTAGGGGACCCCCTGTGGCTTTACTTTTGCGAATAATTCCTGGAAGATGGTTAACTTAAAATGGATCTGCAGTGATTCACAGAGGGACACATTCAGTTGGGATTAAATAATGGTAGCATTCAGTTTTGAAAGTGGAATTGCTGACAGCCCAGAGCAATTGGGGCCAGCGCCAGCAGCGGTTGTGAGCAGGGCCAGTGACCTCAGTGAGTGCAAGTGGTGATTGCTGCCTCGATTGCCCCTTAGGAGCAGGGGGACGTGGAGCCCTCAAGGGCAATCAGGGTTGGCAGCCACTGCTCATACCCACTGATGGTACCAAGGGATCAGGACTGGTGCCAGGCACTGGCAGTGGGTGTGAGCAGCGGCTCCAGCACTGACTTGTGGGTATGAGTGGTGGCTCCGGCGTGCTTGCAGTGGGTGCAAGCAGAGCCGTTGCCTGCAGCAGGTGCGAGCACTGGGTGGGATCACAATGCGAGGGAGCAAAGAATTTTCAGTAACTACCAGAGGCTTTCCCCAATGACATTGAGTGGTGCCCCGCCTTGGTCTGGCACCCCCACTCACCTGTTCCACCATCCTGCCACAGCTGACACCTGCCACGTTCTATACATGCCCCCTGGTGGTCAGCACATGTCATAGCAACTGGTTGTTTGGTTGTTCCAGTTGTTCCTGTTGTTTCACTGTTTGGTATATTTGCATATTAGCCTTTTATTATATAGGATAGTCAAGATATGAAAACAGTCTAAGTGTTTATCAATAGATGAATGGATACAAAAGAGACAGTACATATATACAATGGAATATTACTCTGCCATATAAAGAATAAAATAGGCCCTAACCAGTTTGGCTAAGTGGCTAGAGCATCGGCCTGCAGACTCAAGGGTCCCAGGTTCGATCCCAGTCAAGGGCATGTACCTTGGTTGCGGGCACATTCCCAGTAGGGATTTTGCAGGAGGCAGCTGATTGATGTTTCTCTCTCATTGATGTTTCTAACTATCCCTCTCCCTTCCTCTCTGTAAAAAATCAATAAAATATATATTTTTTAAAAAAGAATAAAATCATGCCTTGGCTAGTGTGAATCAGTGGTTAGAGTATTGACCCATGCACCTAAGGGTCTTGGGTTTTATTCCTGGTCAAGTGCATGAGCAGGAGGCAACCAATTGATGTGTCATTCTCACATAGATGTTTCTCACTCTCTCCTTTCCTTCCCTTCTTTTCACTCTCTCTAGAAATCAATGGAAAAAATATACTCAGGTAAGGATTAACAACAACAAAAATCTTGCCATCTGCAACAACATGGATGGACCTAGAGGGTATTATGCTAAGTGAAATAAATCAGACAGAGAAAGACAAATACCATATGATTTCAATTATATGTGGAATCTAAGAAAGGGAATACATAAATAAACGAAACAGAAACAAACTCATAGATAGAAAAAAACATTTTGATGGTTGACAGATGAGATGGGATTTGAGGGAATGGGTATATAAGAGGTGGACAGGATTAAGAACTACAAATTGAGGCCTGGCCTGTGTGGCTCAGTTGATTGGAGCATTGTCTCGTGCACTGAAAGCTGGTAGGTGTGAGTCAGGGCACATACTCAGGTTATGAGTTTGATCCCCGGTCAGGGCATGTGCAGAAGGCAACCAATCAATGTTTCATTCTCATATTGATGTTTCTATCTCTCTGTTTCTCTCTCTTTCTCTCTCTCTAAAACCAGTAAAAGAATGTCCTTGGGTGAGAATTAAAACAAGAAGTACAAATTGGTAGTTGCAAATTTCATTAGAATGTAAAGTATAACATAAGAAATATAGTCAATAATATTGCAATAACTATGTATGGTATCAGATGGGTACTACATTTTTTTGAGTGATCACTTTGTAAGTTATTTAGATGTCTGGTCATTATGTTTTACACATGAAACTAAAATAGCATTGTATGTCAGCCATATTGAAAAATAGGAAAATTATTTTAAAAAGTAAACTAAACAAGAAACTAATAAAAAATGGTTACTTCTAAGTCAGTTTGTATGGGGATGGATCGAGATTGGAGGAAAGAAGAGAGTGAGACTTTTTATGTCATTTTCAGTTTAGACTATCTAAAAGTACTAGTTATTTAAAATATAGGATTAAGTTAAAGTTAAGATATTTTTATCATTTAAATATTTTGTATGCATACATAAATATAATGTTTTTATGAAAAGCCCTTAAAGAACAGTACCCTTTAATATTAGGATTTTAGGTACATGATATATTGGTCTTGCAGTTGCTGCCCCATGTATTTTCTAAAGTCCTTGTGGATAAAAGCCTAGGCACCTTGACATATAGGGTTGGAGTTACATGCCACCTGTCTTAGATATCTTAGTACATTTTGCTTAGACTTCTAATGTAAAATCAATCTAATGTCCGTTCTGAATAGAGTAGTTTGGTCTTTAGATGTGCATATGGCCTGTGGGCATTCATTGACAGTTCTTCACTGGCATGAAAATACTGATAATCATCTATAAGTGGCATTTTTAACCTGGTTCTAAAAATAGCTTCTGTATCCCTGATCTTATAAAACTTTATATATAATTCATTTATTTTTTATAAAGAAAAAAGGGGTCCATTTTCACAAGGTCCATAACAAAATGGTTAAGAAACACATCTTAAAGATAAATTATTAAACACTAGTAAGTTGGTATAATTCTTGCAATGCCTGCTGCATTTTTACAATGCCTAATTATTTGTAGCAAATTTTTAACACTTTTTATAATTCTAATTAATGTTTTGTTTTGTTTTTTTGAGCAGATGGGAATAGCACTGTGTCACAAGATTGCAGTTGGCAATGCAATAAAACTGTAAGTGAATTCCTCCCTATTTTATTAGCCATATTCACTTGTGTGTTCCCCTGGAAGCAAGTTATATTTAGAGATTATTTTTGTAAGGCTGGGCTGCATATTGGTGCTTTCTAGTTAAGAGACAAAGAAGAAAGTAATTTGTTTCTTAAATAGGGATCCTATGATTAATTGGTAAAGTTCATATGGATACAGGTAGATCAGTTTGTTAGAGATGCCTGATAAGTGATGTTTTACTCACACACATTCACACAACACTCACTACAGACTTTCTCCTGGCCAAAAAATTGGACAAAAAAAAAGAAAAAAAAAGAAATAGTTTAAAGAGAGTTAAACTACCAGGAAGACTTCACTTAGCATTAGGGAATAACATGCTTTGAGTCACTGTGGTGTCATGGAAGCTGTTCCAAACAAAAATATTATGTAAATGAAAGTGTGCCACTTAAACATAGGCCCCCTAATATCATTTTCCAACCCAAATGCTTCTATATAGAAAATGTGAGGCCACTGTAGAGTTTTTCTATACCTTAATCTCCCCATAGAATGACTTGCTAAGATATTAACTGTTAAGGTGTTAACTAGTCACAAGTGGTGAGAAATGACAACCTGCAATAGCAAGAGAAATTCAAGTTGAGACAAAGTGGGCTGATCTTCTATGGGGTCAGATTACTGTTACTGTTAACCTTAGTTACAAAGCGAACACTGCATAGGGGTGATATGAAATATTTTACCAATTTGTATGGCATGATTGACCCAATGGATGTGGGCTGAATTTGTATATACCTCCTAAATATTAGAACTGCCACCATGGAAATGGTTATTATATTGCTATATGGCCAGATTTATGCAAAAAAAATTTTTTTAAAAGCACATTCTGCCCTAGTTGGTTTGGCTTAGTGGATAAAGTCTCATTGGCCTGCAGTCCAAAGGGACCCTGGTTCAATTCTGGTCAAGGGCATGTACTCGATTGCAGACTTCTCCTCAGCCCAGGCTCTGGTCGGGGCTCATGCAGGAGGCAACCAACTGATGTGCTTCTCTCACATCGATATTTATTTCTCTCTTTCTTTCCCTTTCTCCCGCTTTCTCTAAATATCAATGAAAAAATATCCTCGAAGCATAATAACTTGTTAAGGATCTCACAGCAACTAAAAGAGCCAGGATTTTGACTCCAGAGATTAAACTTTTATGCTGCAATAAGCTTGATCTTTCTCTCGGATCTTCCTTTCTGTTAAAATGTAAAGGGACCTAGCATGATGCTTGCATGTTTTGGGCTTATTTTAGGAGGATGATCCCTTATAAATCACCCCAGGCATTTTAAACACAATTCTGCATTTTTAAATGACTTTCATAGCATTTTAAGTTAACTGTTAACCAAAGCCAAACTTGAGTAGTTGATTTCAGGTCCATTTTATTGATTGATTGATTGATTGATTGATTTCAGAGAGGAAGGGAGAGGGAGAGAAAGATAGAAACAATACCTATGAGAGAGAATCATCAATTGGCTGCCTCCTACAAGCATCCTACTGGGGATTGAACCTGCAATTCAGGCATTTACCCATGGCTCGAACCAAACCTGAGATCCTTCAGCCCACAGGCTGATGCTCTATCCACTGAGCTAAACCGGCTAGGGCTCGGGTCCATTTATATAGACATAAATAGAATCTTGAATTATAGTTAAAAAAAATAAGGACTGTATCAATGGCCAAATTTATGAATTAAATACATCGAGATAACATCACCAAGTCAACTTATACATGAACATCTTTTTCTTTTTTAATATCAGAAGAGAATATATTTATAAAAATACCCTATTGATTTCTTTTGATAATATTGGTAATTTACATGTATTTGAGCTTTGACAAATACATGCACCCATGTAAATCCCACTTCAAGCATGATGTAAAGTATTTTCAATACTCTATATACATATTGAATTTCAAATTCTCTTACAATTTCACCATGTTACAACCTCTGGATATCAGTTGGTCTTGCCCATCATGATCTAGAAGTAGACAAGGACCAATTAAGATAAATGTGCCTGAGAACATTATTTGAGGAAATGATTGCTGTGCATAATTCTAACAAGATGCTTTTTCAATCTTCTGATGTTCCCTTAGCACACGGACTTGAAACAAAATCCAAGCTTGAGCACCAATAAGTCACTCTCCATTGGACTCTCCATTATTGCTGTGGTATTATTGCTCACTATTTTGGCTGCCTTAGTTCCCACAAGTAAGTCATTTCAGAACTGTGCAGAGTGAGGGCTGTAGAGCTAAACTGCCTGGGTCTAGGGAGCTTCACATACCACTTTACTTTTGATTTCTCATAACTTTCCTGTTTCATAACCTCATTATTTTTTGTTTATTTCTTAAAAATATTGGCCTGTTAAGAGAAAAAGGAAATTTAAGTCTCCTTAGGAGAAATAAAACACTACAAAATGAGAGTTTGTTGGGTGGAGTTGGGATAAGCAGATTTGTTCACTCTTCCTCCTCCCTTCCCCTCAAGACCCCATTTTTGCTCCAGTAAAGAATAATATTGCTGAAGCCGGTTTTGCTCAGTGGTAGAGTGTCGGTCTGTGGACTGAAAGGTCCCAGGTTCGATTCCGGTCGAGGGCATGTACATTGGTTGAGAGTGCATCCCTGGTAGGGGGTGTGCAAGAGGCAGCTGGTCGATGTTTCTCTCTCATCGACGTTTCTAGCTCTCTATCTCTTTCCCTTTCTCTCTGTTAAAAATCAATAAAATATATTAAAAAAAAAGAATAATATTGTTGAGAGTCTTTCAACATTTAATTAACTGAAGAGGGAAACGAGATATTGAAGGGGAAACAGATTTCAGGCAAGGCTAGTCCAATAGGTTTCAAAAACTAGCCATCTACCAGCTCTGTATGAATGTGTGTGTGTGTGTGTATTTGTGTGCATGTGCATGCATGTTCAGCTGGCCTCCATGGAAGAACCACAATTATCCATTTTTGAAAATGAAAAATAATTATTAATAATTGCATGAAAGTAAGTTTGGGCATATGTGTGAATACACTAAACCATTAATGAACATGAGGTAGTTTGCACACGGGGGCTTCTTTGGGTACTATAGAGTCAGCAGTCACAAGGAAGAGCCTCATCTGAGTTTTGTTTATTTTCCTTTTTAAAAAAAACATTTGTTTAGCCTGGCCAAGGTGGCACAGTGGTTGAGTGTCATCTCCTGTACCAAGAGGTTGCTGTTTTGATTCCTGATCAAGACACTTGCCAGGGTTGTGGTCTCTATCCCCAGTAGAGAGCTTTCAGGAGGAAGCCAATGTTTCTCCCTCTTCCTCTCCCTCCCCTTCCTCTTTCGAAAAATCAATAGAAACATATTAACAAACAAAACAAACAAACATATTTTTCTAAATTTAATGTTTTCCACCTCTGCCTTTGTACAAATTTTGTTTATATTATAGTAATAGCAGAAGTAATATACATGGTCAAAAAAAGATCTCAAACTCTTTGACTGACATGTTTTATTTTCTCTTCAACTCTTCCCCAATTTAGAATATTTATGTCGGAAAAGAAACGTGTTGCAAAGAAGGTAAGCTTGAAGGGTTTGTGTCAATGCCTTTTGATGTTTCTACTCTAGTAAAAAATAATAATAATAATTCTCTTTGTTCCTCTTCTTTCTCTCCCTAACTCCAGTTTATACCCTGAATCTTGAAAAATCTAGTTCAATGGATGCCTCCATCACTATCCACACCTTCCAGTGGATTGTTAGCTTTCTATATTTCCATGGAATTGTGCCATGAACTTCTATAGAAATAGCACTTCAATCCTAAACTCTTAGACTAAGGGAACTAAATCTCAATAGTGTTTGATGAAATTACATTTGAATGAATTGTTTGATTTGTTCTCGATTTTCATTCAGTGCTTTGTCTACTGAAAGCAATCAACAAAACAGACAGAACATTTAAGCAAGTCACAGGGTCCTTTTAGTGCTTCCAGGCAAATAGCATGGGGAGTGTAGACCAGGGTAGTGGGCTGTGTGAGTGAGCCTGATGGAGTAGGAGGCGGCTGGCAAAGATCTAGAGGAAGACAACTTCAGGCTGAAGCACAGCAAAAGCATAGTTCCCCATTCCCTGTTGTTCCACACCCAGCATGCTCTGCTACTTTACGTTAGATATCTGGCCTCATAAGCATTTGATGTACAATTTTTGTAAATCTCACCTATTGCCCAATTAAAGTTTAAATCTCCTTTACTTTCATCCACCTCCTATATCCATCTAAACAAACACCTGTGATGGTATGAAATCACTACTTACCATAACCCTGGTTAACCTGCTTCTTTTAGTCCAGTTTGGGCTCTAAGTAAGGTCTTTGATTCACTAGCCATCCCTCTGAGGCTGCCATTCATTATTCCTAATTCTGTGTGTTTTTTTTTAATATATATTTTATTGATTTTTTTACAGAGAGAAAGGAAGAGAGATAGAGAGCTACAAACATCGATGAGAGAGAAACATCGACCAGCTGCCTCTTGCACACCCCCTACCGGGGATGTGCCCGCAACCAATGTACATGCCCTTGACCGGAATCAAACCTGGGACCTTTCAGTCCGCAGACCGACACTCTACCGCTGAGCCAAACCAGTTTCGGCCCTAGTTCTGTTTTGTTGGATGTCAATCTTTCCTATGTCTTAGTTCCATGAGCCAATCCACAGAATTGCCTTGAACAATAATCAACATATTGCAAGTGTTCCATAAACGTTGGTTTCTATTATTGCAATAATGACTACATAGAAATAAATCTGTGAGACAGGCACTATTATTCTCACTTTATACATTGGAAGTCAGGTTCAGAAACATTAAGTGACATCCAAGTTCATACCATACAGTAGATAAAAGACTCAATATTAAGTCTTTGGGGTCCAGAATCCACACTATAGATTTGACTATCTGCTTCCAGCAATAGAAAGGGGGAAAGAATACTCCTTAAGGCAGAAAAGCACGATTTTTTGTCCTTGCACTGTCAATATTTTCTTTATGTATTTTTTTAGTTGATTTTTGCCCTTTTCCTGTCAACATATTCTTTACATCCATTTCTTATAAATTATAAAAGAAAAATTGTAGGAAATATTGTAAAATATAAAAAAGAAAGAGAGAGAGAGAGAGAGAGAGAGAGAGAGAGAGAGAGAGAGAGAGAGAGAGAGAGAGAGAGAGAACGCATTTATGATGACACCTTTGGGGCAGCTATTTCATGCTGACTCATTTTGAACTCTTGACATCTAAACTGGTTCTCACGTATATGCCTGTTTTTTTTAAGATCTGAGTTGAGTGAAGACTCTACATTTCATATCATTTCTGGGCAGGCTCAGGTAATAAAAACCATCACTATCTACAAATTATAAAACAACAGCTATATCAGACCTCTACACATAACCTTTTCATACATTTGTTGTGTGAGTGTATAAGTTATGAAAGTCATCTAACTCATGGCTTTCTCATTCTGACCATAAAAACACAGTAAGATTTTTGACACCCTGATCCAATCCAGTACACACTTACGTGAAGCAACACTATTACTACATAACACACACTGATATTTTGTATTCTGTTTATCCTAAATACAAGAAGTAGACAACTCTGTAGATTTAATAACCCTCTCTAAAGAGTATGATCCACAATTGGAAAAACACAAGCCAAAGCATTTCATAGCCACCTTTGTGAATATGCATCTTGATTTAGTACTTCCATTTCATGTCTGACAATTGTCTTAGATTTTCAACTGTTGATTCTATTACATGGATATCTTGAAAGAGAATAGTCTGAATATGTCTTAGGTTTTGTTTTGCTATTTTTTTTCAATCCCGCTTCTTAAATTTTCCCACAATTTAATATTTACAACTCTGCAATCTTCTAGTCATTTAATAGGTTGTGTGAATGGGGCACTGGTAGTCAAATAGACAAACGTACTGTTCATTATTTAGAAGTGGTTTGCACTTACTTACGTTATTCTTTTTGTAGCAAAGAACCTCAGACCGCTACTTTGCAAAATGAAACTGCAGTGTGCTACCAAGCACATGAAAATATCTCCTTTAAGAACAAGCTTTACAACGTGCGTTAAGACCAGCGGTTCTTCACGACTTTAGGCCCTTGACTCCAGAAGGCAATGACCAGATCTTACCATGTCTGTCCTTATAAGCTCCAGGATGATTTTTCTGTCCATATTTCACGGCATTATAGCATGTCAGTGATGTTGGTTAGAGTGTCTTTAGCTCATCAGTGTCTAGTCACCCTTATTGGTAATTAGTCTTAATTTTTTATACTAAAATTGGCTCAGTCTTTCTGGTCATAGCAGAGCCCTCTCCCAAATATGAGCTTAACACTTTAGAATTGTGTATTCTGTTTAGACTTTATGAGCCATGTATCCATCAAGAATTCTCATTGGGAAGACAAGAAATGAACCAATACTTTGGTCACCATAAAACATTGGAATAGGACTTAAAATCAGAAAATCTGATTTGGTCCTTAAATGAGTTCACTTGGAAGCATTTTTTTTTTTCTCTTGCAACTCATAATGTTAAACTTCTTAAGTTACTGTAGGCTTTCAAATCATGGAGGTTCACAAGTTTTTATTTACCTGGTGGGGAAATAAAGTTGGTGTGGTTCCCCATTAGATCTTTTTTGGCTCTGAAAATATAAGGTTTTAAGTGCTTCCCCTGGGACTAGGATGGGGTTTTTAGTAGTTAGAAGGAGCTAGGATGTTTAGTGGATGAAGTAATAAAAAATCCAATTGCCATGTGATTTAACACATGTATGCTATTTTTGCTACATCTGTGTCATAGTTCCAGGAACTCGTATAGACCAGTGTCAGAAAATCTGAATGAATTTTTAGAATGATGCAGGACAGAGATAAATAAAAGGATAAACAAAAGGGAGAGAACAGGAAAAAGGCTTTCTGTTTAGAAAAGTAAGTTTGCAAATATAATAGTGTTGTTTGAGAGTGTTTTTAGTTTCAACTGAAATTCTAAATTTTCCCCAACCACTTAAATTAAGACAGGAACCACTATATGATCCAATAATCCCACTCCTGTTCATATACCCAAAAATCTCAAAATCACATATTTGCAAAATATATGCACCCTTATGTTCATTGCAGCATTATTCACAGAGGCTAAGACATGGAAACAGCCAAAGTGCCCTGCGATAGAGGGCTGGATAAAGAAGATGTGGTACATATACACAATGAAATACTACTCAGCCATAAGAAAGGATGAAAGCGCCATTCTCAACAGCATGGATGGACCTTGAGAAGATTATGCTAAGTTAAATGGACAGAAAAAGCTAAGAACCATATGATTTCACTCATATGTGGGATATAAAATTGAAACTTATGAATACAAATAGCAGTGTGGTGGTTGCCAGAGAGGAGGGAGTGGGGGGAGAAGGGGATCCTAATATGAGATAACAGGAGAAGATTTATCTTTGATGGTGGGCACATGATGTAATATACAGATTTTGTAACAGAAATCCACACATGAAACCTATATGTTCATGTTGACCAATGTCACCCCAAACAATTTAATAAATAAATTTAAGGAAAAAAAAGTATTATGGAAGGATGAATGTTTTTTTTTCATATCAAATTCCAGTGCTCTTCCTTCTTCACAATCGAATTAAATTTTTGTTTTTTCCAAGAGAGTTAAAGCAAAAAAGGTAAGGATATTTTAAGCCACCAGAAATTTCTTTTCTTTTGTTTTTTTTCTCTTTAAATCAGGACATCTGTACATGAATAGTTCACAGGGCTGGGTAATAATTTCAATTTGAAGTAATCCTGAAATAATTCACACTTGTGGTTCAATGCTACTCACACTGTAATGGCCTAAGAGGGTGGGATGCTTGTTTTTATTTTTATTTTTAAAAAATATATTTTATTGATCTTTTTACAGAGAGGAAGAGAGAGGGATAGAAAGCTATCAGTTGCCTCTTGCACACCCCCTACTGGGGATGTGCCCACAACCCAGATACATGCCCTTGACCGGAATTGAACCTGGGACCTTTCGTTCTGCAGGCTGACACTATCCACTGAGCCAAACCATTTTCGGCGGGATGCTTGTTTTTAAACGCAACATTTCTAACACGTAGCTGCTGAATTCTAGAAAATTAATAGCACCTCTGAATAAAGGTTAAATGAGCAAATAATATTAAGCATTATCTACTGGGTTTCCTAAATAGGATGAGACTATTATAGTTTAAAAAATCTTGTTCAAACTACAGATTTTTTTCTTTAATTTATTATTTATATGTTTATTTTGTTAATCTCACCTAAGGATATTTTCCCATTGATTTTTATTTTATTTTTATTTTTTAAAGGGTTTGATTTTTAATAACTGTATCATTCCTTTTTTATTTTTAAATATATTTTATTGATTTTTTTTTTTACAGAGAGGAAGGGAGAGGGAGAGTTAGAAACGTCGATGGGAGAGAAACATCGACCAGCTGCCTCTTGCACACCCCCTACTGGGGTTGTACCCACAACCAATGTACATGTCCTTGACGGGAATCTAACCTGGGACCCACCTTTCAGTCCACAGACCAACTTTCTACCACTGAGCCAAACCAGTTTCGGCTGATTTTTAGAGATAGGGATAGACAAAGAGAATTACTGCTATGAGAGAAACACACTGATTGGTTGCCTCCAGCAGAGCCCTGGGGCTGGGGAGGACCCTGCAACCAAAGTAGTGCCCTTGGCTAGAATCAAAACCCAGAAGCTTGGGTCCAAAGGACGATGCTCTATGCACTGAGCCAAACTGGCTAGGGCTACTAGTACAGTGTTTTTCTCTTAAATTCAAGACATAAATGCATAAACAGAGATTTCAAATTAAAGCCCAGATTTTAGTTTTTCTGGAAAGAAGTGGCAACATTGGACCGCATTCCTATACAATCAGGGCCTGATTAGGTGGCATCCCATTCTCTTAGCCCACCAGCCCTTGCCCTACCTGCAGCTCACGTTTGTTACCTGCTTCTTGGCTTGTGGTCCTTTGCATTTATGCTGCCTCTTCCAGTCTCCATACTTTTCCTATAGATGTATGACGTCACACTAGAGGCTCTGAGAATCTGGTTAACTTTGTTTAATCCAGAATTTCCAAAATTTGTTTGAAACCCATGAGCAAGGATGGCTGCTGGCATGCCTGTGAGGGTGTGGGGACACAGAATTAGAACTTGAGTTCTATCTTGACTCTTACCAGTAACACTGGATTCGTGTAGGGCAAGTTGTTCTTTATGCCTTTTCTTTTACATCTATTAGAGATAATAATTCCATACCTACATCGGATCCTAGTGGTAACTAATGATGACAACAATGTTATTTGTGAGAAGGCTGAAAAGTGAAAAATATTACAGATATGCAAAGGGCTTTTATTTTGGCCGAGTTTTTAGTAATAGCAAGTCTAGTATTAATGCTCAGTAAATAATTTCAACAGTGTTACATTCATAAGTCTCTTGCTCTAGAGTACCACTGAATAATATTTTTTGAAAAGTTGATATTGGGTAATTTGGCTGTAGAAAATAACTCAATAACTGAGAGAAAGAATGGGTAGAAGGAAGGAGAGGGGGAAGCATTTAGCTAATATTAATATTTTCTGTAATTTTATCAATATTGTAGAATGTATTAAGTTTTGTTTTTGATCCTTTGAAACAGTTGAGATTTTATTTTCTATAAGCTGTCCTGGGACATTAGGACATGGGTGTAATTTAGGCCATATTTTAAATTTGGGAAATTTTGCACATCTTTAAGAAGCAGCAGAACCAATCTTTCACTGATGACTGTGAAGATAATTTTGTGAGTACATGAAAGTTGAGTCTCTTATTTTCATTGTAGGAACAAACACCAATAGATGTGATTTCTGTTTTCATTTTGAAAACTGACTTTTTTCTCAGGCTCATCAGTTGGGGCCTGACATCTTCAACTTGCGGTGGATTCTCAGAACAAGGGCAGGCGGGACAAGATTTGAGAGCCAAGTGTGCCTGGCAGTTAGGTAAGTGCTGGGGGTGGAGTTCTCTATTTCCCAAGGAGTTCCCATTTAATAGGTACCCTCCATCCCCCCGCAAAAAAGCCCACAAAACACAAAACCATCAATTCTGCTACCAATAAATACTGAGGAGAATGAGAACTTGGTGATAGGATGGGCTTTCCAACCATGGCATTTGGAGTAAGATAACCCTTTGTTGCTGGGGGCTTCCCTGTGCATTGTGGGATATCTAGCACCATCCCTCGCTTCTATCTACCAGGGGACAGTTGTGCCCTTCCAGCTATGACAACTGCAAATGTCCCCAGACATCACCAAATGTCCCCTGAGAGACAGCATCACCCCTGGTTGGAAATCAGGGTGACACAGGATGCCTGGGGGTGTGAAGGATGTGAGTGGGGAGGGTGGGGAGTGGTGCAGGGTTGGTCAGGGACTGCCTCTGAGAAAGAGGTGACATTTGAGTTGAAACCAAACAAGGCACCCGCTTGGAGGAATCCACCCAATGCCAGGGCCTTGGGGCAGGAAGAAGCTTGTGCATTAAGAGGGAGAAAGTAAGGTGTGTTTCAAGCACTAACAGCCATGTGGCTGTAGCCAAGTGAGTGAGGAGGTTTGGAAAGAGATGAGGCTAGAGACTTGGGCGCTGCTTCTCACAGGGGCTGGATGCAGAGGGCCCTATGAACACCTCAGTTTGAGAAGAGTCCCACTCTTAGGAAACAAAACACTATATATTAAGGCTTAAACCGGATATGCATCACCAAATTGTGCCAAAAATAAATTCAGCATTTCTTAATGTGCTTCTAAGATTACACATGAAAAGTCGGTTTAGTTGGTTGGGGTGACAGAAGATGAGGGTACGTAGGGGGAGAGAGTTACATCCTGGCAGTGAAGGGCTTTTCACAGGTCAGTATGAGGGCACCCTGGCCTCGGGAGAGAGGTCCTGGAAGAAGACGGATGGGGTGTCAGAGTTTGATCTACTTGCAGCCTGGCATAGTGGAGACATGTTCTCTGATTGTGATATTTGCCTCAGACACCCACTCTCCATCCCATAGGTCAACCCGCTTTCTGGGAAAGCTTGCCTCCTGTATTTTCAGTGGGTGTGTCATTCCTCATGGCTCAGCTCCAATGTCACCTCTCCAGTCCTGTGGGACCCCATTCCCCAAGGCAGAATTAGCCTTGAAAACACTTTGTGGATCCCTCTTCAGCCACTGGATGAATATGCCAGGCATGGTGCTGTTACCCAGCGTGGGTCATTCTACATGAGGCCAGGGCCCTACCTAGCAAGTGGGGCACATTCTGGGTGAATTACAGAGACACCCTCCTCCCTTTTTCTGGCTGGCACAGCCTCTGAGCCAGGTCAAAGGCTTGTCAAATGGAGTCTGTCCAAACTACAAGCATAATTAGTGATGTAGTGACCCTATAAGTTAGTGCTTTGTATTAGAGATGTGTGGGTTAAGGACGCTTTGTATATTGAGTAGTCTGAGGGAAGTGTATGCAGTTTCTCAGCAACCAGCTTACACACAGTAAGTGCTTACTACATAATTATGAAAATTTTGGAATAAATTGAAAGAATGTTTCCTAAATCCTCCCTCCGTGTCCTGGGAATGAGGGGGGATGGGAGAGCTAAGTGTCTTTTTTATTTTATTTTTATTGTTATTGTTGAAAGACCTGATTATTTTAAAAACTCTTTTTATGAGCTAGAAAGAACTCTCTTCATATGACCAGCTGGAGTTCGTATGTACCTCAGAGGCTCTCTGGCCCGTGCTTTGCAACCTTGGCTTTCTGTACATTAGAATCACCTGGGAAGCGTGGCCAACTACGCATGCCCAGACCAAGTCAATCAGAATCTCAGCTGTGGGGCCAGATAGGCTTTTTTTTTTTTTTTTTTTTTTTTTTTTTTTTTTTTATCTTCTGAGATGATTTCAGTGTGTAGCTAAGGCTGAGAACCACTGACCTGAAGAGACTTGGTGAGGGGAGGTGAGTGCTTGTGTCCTTGTTCTGTGTGAAGAGAGCTCTGGAAAAGCACAAAAGATTCAGACTAAACAGAGTATCAACAGCGGGCTGGGACAGGTGGGCAGACAATGGGTGATAGCAGATCTTTCCTGTGTCTGGCTGCATGGCAACAGCATTATATTGGTGGCAGCCCTGGGAATGAAAAGATGGACACTGCCACGAGTTTGAAAGCTTCTCAGGAAG